GGGCGGGCTCTGTCTCCCGGGCGGGCTGGCATTGTCTCCGCCGCAGGCTGGCGCTGTCTCTGTAGTAGGTCGGTGCTGTCTCCGTAGCAGGTCAGCATTGTCTCTGTGGTAGGTGGGCATTGTCTCCACGTTCTGGGAGGAGCACCAGGACAAGTGTGGCTGCTCCATCCATGGAGTCCAGGGAGTGGCCGTGTCTTCCCTGCAGGTATGACGGGCTGACCAGGGGCGAAGTGGACCCCCACCTGGAGGAGCTCCTCGGGCTGGTGGTGTGGCTGACGACCTGCGGGAGGTCCGAGCTGAAGGTGTTCGACAGCGTCACCTACCCGCAGCTTGAGGGCTTCAAGTTCCATCACGAGGCCTCTGGTGAGTCCTTTGTGGGCCTGGGTGACCGGCAGGGTCGGTCCTGTGCCCTGACAAGGCTGATGGGTCTTTCCTTGATTCTTCGTGCACCTGCCAAGGACACAGCGAGTCTGGCTTGATCCTAATCTTTGGAGAAATGAGCTAAGTATCTTAAGTCTCCATTAATAGATTTTCCCAGATGTGCAACCTCAGCTTCGCCCAGTGAGGGAGTTAGTCTGGCGTGGGACTGAGAGGAGACATTGCTCAATAAACCCAAGACTCTCAGACTGCGGAGGAGGCCTCTGACCCTGCCCCACTCTGCTGTGACTAACTGTAGCATTTGCTTATGTAATAGGGACTGACAGCCCCCAAGCAGCCACACAGTCTTAGAGTCAGTGACTTCTCTGTACTCTGAGATATTGATAATTGACTGATGAATTCAATCAGCATGCACTGAGGCTTCCTGTGGGGCACATGCTGCCCCCTGCGGGGAGCCCGGAACTCCTCTGCAGAAAGCCGGGCACGTGGGGTAACCACTGCCTGCCGGGTAAGTGGCTGTAAGCACATTGGGGACAGCCCCGGAATCAGGCAGGCCCGTCAGGAAACTGCACACAAAGCCCATGCTGCAGAGGGTTTTTAAAGCTAGGTGTCGGTTGTCCAGGTTGAAATGAAGGGAAGGAAGTTTAAAGTCTGGGGCAGAAATGGTGTCCTGAAACCAAGGTGAATCTGGGGAAATGGGACCTGCTGCAGAGCGGAGGCCGAGAAGCTGCCAAGCTGCATAGGCCAGGCCCAGAAGGCCACAGGCAGGACTCTGGCAAACTGGGGCATGGCTGGAGCTCAGGGGAGCTTCAAAAACATCTCTGGTCTCTGAAATAGAGAAGGCTGGAGGCAGGGATCTTTGTGATCAAGTGTTTCCTGGGTGAGAGAGATTGGTGATATGGAGTAAAAGGTGATATGGGTTTGGAAGGTGTATTTATTAGAGCTGGTCTAGAAATGAGACTGACTTCTCTTAGTAATCTTCAACATCATTTGATTTACATCGATTGAAACTAATCTTTCCAGCCCAGTGCTGTCCGATGGAAATAGAACGCAAGCCCTCTTATGTAACTTTAAATGTAATTTTTATTTCAAAGAAGAAGAAACAGGTCAAATTATTTTTGGTGACATACTGAATTCAACCATTACTATCACACCATGTGGTCGCTGTGAATACCTGTTAGTGGGTTATTCTGCATGCTTTTCCTCTGCTGCCTCTTCAAAGTCCAGCGTGTGTTTGACACTCACAGCACATCTCGGCTCAGAGTGGTCATGGTGAGTGCCCAATTAGTCACCAAATCTTGCGTGATGGAGCTCCAGCCTTCTTCCCAGCCTGGGTGCCTGCCTTTTCTGGATTGCCCATAGACATGTACCCCCAGGAGCTAGAGAACAGAAATGTCGAGGGCATGTCTTAATGATAATGCAGCATGTTTTTCCAGACATAGGCAAGAGAAATGACTTGTGGGAATATTTTTGTTTTTGTCCTCAGGGGTGACCGTTAAGAATCTTCAGGCCTTTCAGGTCCTGCAGAATGTTTTCCAAAAATCCAACGACTCTGTCCTTTGCACACAAGTCCTGTTGTCTATCAAGACCATGTGGGCTTGGAATTCTCGGAACTTCTTCCTGCTGGAGTGGACCCTGCAGCCCATCTCGCAGTTTGTGGAGATCGTGGCCCTGAAGCCAGCCCTGGTGCAGGTGCACTTTTTCCAGCTTCTGGAAGCCCTGGTCTTTGAGTTGCACTATGTGCCCCATGAAATCCTACAGAAGGTGCAGCGTCTGATCAAAGAGAGTCCCGAGCCTTCCTGCACCCTCGTGGCCCTGCAGAGCATCCTCAAGATTGCCGGCAGGGACCCTCTCTTCACCGACATCTTCCGGGACTCGGGGCTCCTGGGCCTGCTGCTGGCCCAGCTGCGGAAGCAAGCCAAGATCATGAGGAAGTCAGGTGCCACCTAAGAGCATCAGGAGGGGTGGGCGAGTGCGCTGAGGCCAGCGGTGGCCCGGGGGAGGGCGCCTGGCCAGAGAAGTCCAGCCACTGGCTGTAAGGGCTGAGGGCCAGGGCTCTGCAGTCTTCGGCTTCTCCAGTAGCTACTTCAAGTTTATACCTGGGTCTTGCTAAGGGAAGCTGAGGGAGTGAGCCCAGGCATCAGGGCTGGACAGCCCTGGGCTGGAGACTGGGCCACATGTCTTACAAGCTGAGCACCCCTGAGTCAGTTACTTAGTATCTCTGGGCCTGTTCCCTCCTCTGTAAAGGGGGGGGGTAATAGTTTCTACATCCTAGGAGTGAGGTGAGAATTCAGTGAGGAAATAACTGAAAAGGACCCGCTGCTGGGTTGGCACATCACAGGTGCGCAGGAACTCAGTGACCTGATCCTACGGCTTCGGTGCTGCTGCGAGAGGGACCATGTGGGCAGTTCAGGCACCTTCTGGAGGCCAGGAAGGACCTATGCCCCTGAGTGTTAGCAATAGGTCTGGACACAGACGGGAGCCCCGGCCCCGGGCAGTATTTGGCCACTTCTTCCCATTGCTCAGTGACTTCTTGGCTTAAATCTCCTCACGGGTGACGTTACTACACTGATAAGTTATATGGCTACCTTGGTTCTCCTTGGTGTTTAGTTGAGGAATCCTCGCAAAGCCTTTCTGCTTAGTGTGCCTGTGTTTTCTCAGCTGAGTTTGCCTTTCAGCAGCCTAGCACTGGCATTTCCTCTTAAACCCAGTCCCAGGCCTGTGACTGTTCCTAGGAGGACTTGGGCTCTTCTGCGCGCCGATGCGTCTCATCCGACTTTGGGCCTCCCATCGTCGCCTGCACCTTGTTTCTTAGATCCTCTCTCCTGGTCAGGCACTGCAAACGCTCATCCCTTCCTCATTCAGTCAAGTTTGTGCCGAGGTCGGGTTAGAGTCAGGTGCTTCCTGGTGCTTCCAAGGTGCACACCGAGGCCTGGTTTTGCCCCCGTGGACGTCATTGTGAGGCCATGCACTGACGCAGAATCTCAAGCTTCTTCATGGCTCAGGCAGAGCTGACAGTCTTCCCTCTCAGGCACGGAAGGCAGACCCTAAAAGGGCCCCCCTTTCAGGAGGATCAAGGAATCAGGGTGCTGTGTATCATCTCTGGCCATGCTTCAGGAGCGGTCCCTGAGCTATCCGCATCAGCGTTGGCTAGGGATGTGTCAGAAATGCAGATCATAGCGTCCACATAGACCCGCTATGTTAGAAACTGCTCACGGGGCCCGGCTAGGGCTGTAGATTTGAACAGCCCCTCTGTCCAGGGATTCTGATGTGCTTAAATTGGAGAACGGGGCTGTGGGTGTCATCAGGTTTTGTCTATGAGCTGGGTGCATGCTCCCATGTAACAGAAGCGTTGTAAGTCACGCTGCCTTGGAGGACAGAACACCGAGGAAGACATTTGGGTCCTATCTGATGTAGCTAAATTATTTTTGTTGTTACTTCTGAAATGTGGTAGGAAACAAAGAATTTGCTCCTGGTGCACAGGATCCAGAAAGAGAACTCACCTGTGTGATGCTAAGAACTGTGGTCACGCTTCTCGAAGGCTCGGTTCGGAACGCGGGTAAGGATGGGCCCAACCGGGCCTTGACACTGGGTGTCGGACACTAACTATTTCCTGGTTATTTTTGTCGGTACTCAATGATATTATTTAAAGAATAGCCAATATTTACGCTATGGTTATTGTCCACTTACTGAGTATTCAGTGATCGTCAGTAAGTTAGTTGACATCTCAGTTTACCCTATTAACTTCTAAGATTGCTCAGTAAGGCTGGTGAGCAGAGAGTTTAATCCAGAGTCTTCTAACTCTGTGAGATCACAGAGCCCCCTCCTGTCTTTTCAAATGAAATTTACTAATCTCTCATTGCACTGACAATGGGGGCTTTTTATTTTTTAGACCGAAAGAACAAAATACAGACAAAGAAAGCTATTGATAGGTTTTTTTTTTTTTTTTTTTTTTGCCTTTGCGTGCATGCTCTCACCAGAGAGAGAAGGGGTAGTGAGAAATCACCCAGGAGGGCAGATGGCCACATCACAATCCCTTCTCCTCTTGAGATTTTGAGCATGCACATGTGCCTAGCGTAATTTTCAAGCCACCAGATCCAAGACTCAAACCACTCAGCCTGCCATGTGGGTTCCAGCTGCCTTCACCTCCACATCATCTGCTAGTGCAGATAGTTCTTTATGAGAAATACAACTCGATGTGCTTCCCAGGGCATGGTGGATTTAGCTGCTCTGCCCATCTATCCCAAAATTGTTTTCACTTCCCCACATCACCCACGTTTTAAAAAAAGGCACATAAAATACATACGCATGTGTGCTATGAAAGAGCTGCACCAGGTCACGTCAGTGATTTCATGATTGGGTCATCCCCTTTATCTGAGTGAGTGTACATTGAACCGTCACTGGGGCCAGGGTCTCTCAGGTTTCTGACAGCGCCGCAGCGCAGAGTGTAAGCATGAGGCAGGCAGTGGAGCCTCGGCAGCTGATTGAAGGTGGGCGGACACCCCACAGGTTGAGTGTCTGCTCAGTCGGAGGAGTCAACAGTGAATAAATACCCTTGGGGGTCTCCCGTTATCAGAGATCCACATGCACGTTAGTAAAGGGGTTGGATTTTAGGGCTTAGGGGTGGTCTTGAGGTCAGCGCTCTCGTTGTGCTCGTACGCTCTCTGTCGCTGAACATGCTTGGACATAGGATACATGTAGCAGTAGCATCCCAGGTCTCCTCCCAGGGCAGAGTTCCTTAGCATGCTAATGAAGCAGATGTTCCTCCGGGTCCCCTCTGGCGCCAGTGAGCATGCGCATGCGTGACCACGAAACTGCTGTAAGTGCTGGCGGATAGGATCTTCACCGTTCCCTTTCTCCCTGTGAAGTGTTCTCAGGGTTGGTGTGGTTTCCATCTCCCACTTCGTCACCCCCTGTCACAGAACTTTACCAGCTGGCAGCAGGGTACAAGCCTTCAAGGTGATGTCCGTGAAGAGGATATCTGGTCCACGACTGGAGAATCCTGGCTGCTCGGATCCGTGTCGAGTTCTTTGAAGGATCCAGTTACTTTCCAGCTTTTAGTCTATATAGACTACTTCACGTACAGTCCTGAGGAAGAAATGCTTAGGATAACTCTTAAACAAAAACATGCTATCAGCCAGATTTCTTTCATTTTCTCCCTAAGAAAGTTCCCAGGGATTACCTACGTTCTTAACTGGAATTCCAGTTTTCTTTCTATAGGAATTTTGGCAGAGTGAAGAGAGGGAATCTTTGCTGACCCTGTATTAGGGAATAAGGAGGAAAAGACAGGAAAAGTAGATCTGTCCAAGTCTGTATTTCTGAGCTTTCTTAAATAAAGGGTCTTGTTTTTTTCTCTACCTCCCTCTGAGGAATTCAATATATGGGGGAGCTGGTAGGCTGGTGGCTAAGAGGGCTGCATCCCACATGGACTGTGTTGTTTGATCCAGGACTGGTGGCTTGAAAAACACGCCAGGTGCACGTGTGTACGTGTCTAAAATCCTGAGAGAATGAAGGGATTGTGGCATGGCCATCCCTCACTGGGGGTGCTTTCTCACTTTTCCTCCCTCTGTTTCTCTGGAGAGCACACACATCCTCTAGCAAAACTGAAGAGAATAAAAAAAAATACAATATATTAACTACAGTTGCCTTGCTGTGTAACAGATTTCCTGAACTTGTTTCTCTGATCTTGAACTTATCTCCTAGGGTAGAAATTGGTCAAATTGTCAAAAGATTTCTTTTTTTTTTTTTCTTCCAAAAATGGCATTCTCATTGGAGAAATAAGCCTTTTTTTTGTTTTTGTTTTTTTTTAAATTTTCAGCTTCAGTTTCTTTTTTATCTCTTTTCATTTAAACAGTGGGTATGCATAACCAAAAAATGTACCAATGGGCGAAAGAGAAACATAAAAAATGGGGCAAAATGAACTTTGAAAATTATCAAAGAAAGTTTTTCTTAGGATTGAAAATAAGGCTCCCAGGCCCTCACTGCTCTAGCCCTGTCTGTCTGGTCCCCAGTTGTCCTGAAAGACCACGGCATGGTGCCCTTCATCAAGATCTTCCTGGACGATGAACTCTACCGGGGGGCCTCGCTCAGCATCCTGGAGCAGCTGTCGGTCATCAACGCTGAAGAGTACATGAGCATCATTGTGGGCGCTTTGTGCTCGTCCACTCAGGGCGAGCTGCAGCTGAAACTGGACCTCCTGAATGTGAGTTCACGTCCTCCTATGACTGGCTTCCCCAGGGACATACACCTTTGGCCCACGTTCGTTTATTCAACTTGCACTGCATTAGGGAGGTAGGCCGTTGTATGGGATAGTGTCGGGCCATCGTACTGGGCAGTCTCGGGGCCATAGTACTGGGTAGTGTCAGCCATCATATGGGGTAGTGTCAGGGCCATTATACTGGGTAGTGTTGGAGCCATAGTACTGGGTAGTGTCAAGGCCATCGTATGGGGTAGTGTTGGGGCCATCATACGGGGTAGTATCAAGGCCATCACATGGGGTAGTGTCAGGGTCGTCATACTAGGTAGTATTGGGGCTAGTATACTGGCTAGTGTCAGGGCCATCGTATTGTCAGGGCCATGGTATTGTTGGGGCCATGGTATTAGGTAGTGTTGGTGCCATCGTACTGGGTAGCGTCAGTGCCATTGTACTGGGTAGCATCAGGGCCGTCATATTGGATAGTGTCGGGGCCATCATACTGGGTAGCATCAGGGCCGTTGAATTGAATAGTGTTGGGGCCGTTGTATGGGATAATGTGGGGCCATTGTATTGAGTAGTGTTGGGGCCGTTGTATTGGATAGCGTTGGGGACATTGTATTGGGTCACGTCGGGGTAATTGTATTGGGTAGTATCAGGTGCTGTAACAAATCCCGCATCCTCAGTGTTCTGATGCATTAGACCTTTCTTTCCTGTGTATAGTCTAATTCATGATTAAGGTTGTCACCGTGCATCTAGCAGCCAGCAGACAAGGGAAGCAAGATCATGAGGCATTTCACAAGGGCATTACTGTGAAGGCCTAAAACTGGCACACAGTAACTCCTGTCCAATTTTCTTTGGGCGGGAGTTACCTGATGACGGGGCACCAGGCAATGTCATCCCTGGCCAGGCAGCTACTTCCCAGCAACTCTGTAAGCCATGGGAGGGGAGCCCCAGTTGGTGGTGGCCAGACAGCTGCCTCAACCAGTATTTATTCAGCACCTACCTAGACCAGGCCTGGCGCGGGGCCAGGGATGTCCAGTTAAATGAGGTATGGCTTGTGCCCTCTTGCCCTCATGGACGAGCACCACTAAGAAGGAAGCGGCAGTTACACTGCAGTGTGCGAACACCTGGCTAGACATCGGACTCAGGCTGCTACGGGAACAGAAGACAGGAGGGACCGATTCTGCCTTACCCGCTTGAGGGAGGCTCACAGAGGAGAGAGCTAGAAAGGAAGCAAGGCAGAGGTGTGAGGACAGCAGGTACAAAGGGACAGCAAGACTGGGTTGTCACGTCAGGCTGACAGTGAGAAGTATGCGCTTGTGCAGTGCTGTTAACAATCATCAAGTTATCTTAACGTTGTTAAAGACTGTAACAAACACCGTTGCTCCCATCTCTTCTGCCTTCCTGCTTTCTCACTCTGCTGCTGCTCCTTCTTTCCATGCCTTTGTCTTCGTGGGCTTATGCCTTTAAAAATTCTTTTTAAAAATTTCATTTTGGTGAGAGGGGAACATGAGAATATGTAAAAATGCCCAGGGGGTTGACTTTGAGAATTCTCATGTATCTTTGCAACAGAATCCCATATATTATAGAATACATGCTCGTGTTGTACTACCCTGCTATGCCTGTTGAATGGCTAATTGAAAAACATATGAAGTTGCTCTGACGTCAAACATTAAGCAAACCGTCAACCTAACTTGGTTGTAAATATCTCTGCACAAACCCTCCTTAACATGTGGAGAATGGTGCTGTTCATTTACCTCTGGGGTTTCTCTGCAGAGCCAAGGTTAGAAACTGGTGTGACTGGTTGCTGTTGTCACACGGCCCCAGCCCAGTGCGTCCTGTGGCCAAAAAATCTTGAGTTGCCTGCCCAAAAGTCACATTATGACCATACTCGTCATGTGTTTCACTGATGACAAGAGCCCCAATGTGATTCAATTACAGGGCCAAAATATCAGCAAAGGTGATTTATATGAAACGGTAAAGAAAAAGTTAAATGTGTCTTGAAGACTCTTGATTCCCATGATTATCCGAGGGAAGGGGACTAAGGGAGACCCATGAAGCAGAGGGGGACATAGGGACAGATGGGGCCAGGAGGTGTTGAGTGGTGAGACTATTGAATCCGTGTGGGCAAGATCCTGGGCTTGCACCCCAGGGGGCTCTGAACATGCTGGTGTGGCCTGTCCCGGTGATCTGGGCTGGCTGAGCTGAGGACGGATCGTGGCATCAACACCCTGTTGGAGGTCCCTGTTTCTCTGTCTCTCTCTTTGTCTCTTTCTCTTATGGAAGAAATAATGAATAACTTTCTATAAAAAATTAAGAGAGAGAGATATAAAGAAATGCAAATTCAGAGCTGGGAAAGACCTTAGATTTATGTGGTCCAGTCTTCTATGTGACAGTCAGGGAGACAGCCAGCGAGCTTCACTAAGTAGAGTAATACCACTGAGCTGCTAAATGGAGAAGTTGCATTGAATCGGAGACTAGCGCATAAAAATCGAGTCATCCTTCCACGTCACCAGGCTGCCTGCTGTGCTTCTCCCTCATGAGCATCTGTGTGAACATCTGTGTGCAGCTGGAGTGGCATGTTCTGATAGGAACAGGGAAGGCATGACCGGAACAGTGAGGGCCCTGGTTTTTGATCGGGTAGGCAATTGTTTCCGGCATTTTCCTACTGAAAGCCCGACAGAGCCACAGAGAGGGAAGCTTTGCTTTGACTTTGCTTGGAGAGTAAAAGTATCTTTGAGTCCAATATAGAGAAGAGAACTCTGCTTTCCTCATGGAAAGTGCATCTTGTTTACTCCGTAGCCCAGAGGCATCTTATTGGAGTGTCAGCCCTTGGGTAATAGGACTGAATTTCTCGAATTAGCAGTGTGAAGCAATTATGGTGTTTTACAGATTCAATATCATTTCAGAAGCACACTACCAAGAGAACACGTAGGGATGGCACTTGGCGGGCTTATTTACCAAACTCAGAGCTGTGCTTGCTGTGTGATCCCCCCCGGGTACCACGCCTCTGCTGGGCAGTCAGGGGCCCATGGGCCGCTCTCCCAGGACCAGGCTGGGAACACACTCCAGTGGGCCATGGGCAGGGATGGGCCCCGAGAGCCTCTTTTAGACTCGCCCACCACCAAGTCACATGAGCGGCTAGTGAACATTTGCTGGGATCTGATGTGGCATCTGCATTTGTTTCTAAATCATTCTGAGAATATCTTGGAACTTTGGAAACAAAGACGTAAAATGAGCTGTTTCTGGCTGGATCTCCCTTTTTAGAAGTAAAGAGGCGTCGTGTCTACAAAGTGGGTCAGAACAGGATATGCAGGAAGTGCCAGAGTGCGAGGACCCGAGAGTCCAGGGAACCGGCAGTGCCTCCCTCTGGGCACGGGTCTGCCATCTCAGAAGGGCATTTACAGCATGGCTTCACTCTTGTGTCCCCCCCTGAGGCAGAACCCGCCACCATTCTGGAGCAGACCGACTTAGGTGGTCGTTTCCAAAACCCGGTGGTGCTCCCCTGCCCACACTGGAGCGCATGCGGCTGCACCGCCTAATTCTGGCAAACGATAACTGAGTTAAAGAATAATGTAAGCAAATGAATTTCCTCTCCACGGCAGTGGGACCGTGATTGGGTTATGCACAAATTCAGATTGATTTGCTAATATACATTTAGCTGTTCAACTCTGAGCTTAATCTCATTACCTCATTGGTCTTCCAGCATGACACGTGGCAAATTATGAGGAATAACAAATAATAGAATGTGAAATAAATCCTGTTAGTCCTAACGTGGTTAGCACTTCACAGCAGACATCCATTTTATAGATTCAGGCTGGAGGAATACTAACTCAGAGACGATGACATGGTAACTGAGTTAGGAGGAGAAAATGTGCTTAACGCTGACCTTTCTTGAAATGTGTCAACCCCAGCCTGATTACTTTGACTTCGGCTGATTAAATTTACCCCCCTCCGCAGACCGAAAACCCTGTGTGATGCATTTTCATGCAGAGTTGAACGACAGTAATGGAGACCCTCCTTCAAGGTCCCTGGTTCCTGACAAATCGTTTCCCAAAGTAGCAAAGTATTTATTTTTCTTCATGATAGAAATGTTTCTCTTTAGTCGCTATGAAATTAAGCCTTTGTAATTGGATTTTGGACTCTTTACTTTATGACTCTGCAAATATGAAATTAACCCCATCCCAAGAAATAATAGAGCGGTCTAAGTTCTAATGAGATTACCCCCATTTTAGATAATGACTCTGAATTTAATAAATCAAACAAAGCAACAATTAAGGACAGCCATTCCTTCCTCCTCCCCCTCCCAACAGGAGGAGAGAAAAATAACCAGCTAGGATTTACAGGTGACGCACCCTCTGGAAGACACGGATCCTGAGGACTGAGTTGCTTTTCTTTGTAAAATATCTGCTCTCCATACTCTTTGTAGCTAGGATGATGGGGTTCTTTGAAGCAGCGTCTGGTGTCTGGATGACAGGAAGGCGGCTCCTTGAGAGAGAAGGGGGATTTTAGCAGTCATGTAGCACCCCGCGCATCTGATTGTCATAACCTGACTGTTTTTGCTTTTTAATCATTTTCCTTTTTGGTATTTGATTTGTCATGTGCCAGTAGGAAATAGAAGAGCTTCATTTCATCAGTCTTAAACCCCCTGGTGGTCTTAGAGGCCACAGAAGCCCTCACACACCCTTGGACGGTTTAACATCACAGAGCTTAGGATGGCCCAACGTCCTCGTGATGGGTTGAGTTTTTGCGGCCTAAGTTCCGTGACCAGACACAATAGCAGGTGCAGTGCATGCTCCCACACGTGGGTGCAGCCTTCCATGTAGATTATCACGTGGAAGCAGGGCCCAAACCACCACGCACACTTCCAGGTGAGAGGGAGTTTCCCACCCAGCCAGAGACACTCGGTTGTGTTGGGAGTGAGCGGCTCATGTCAGGCAGCTGTGATGCAGGTACCCGCCTCAGCCTCTCCTGGCCTCGGGGTCCCCAGGTTGGGGGTGGGGGTGCAAGCAGTTGTGGTGACTCTGTCTACACAGGGAAAGGCCTCGGCCCTGTCTATACCATGGACTTTCTAGCCACTGAACATCCACTATGCGGGACGAAACTTCTCCAACAGTCCACCTGCTTCTCTTGAGGGACACGTCTACAAATGTCAGTCTTTCTTTCTCAAACTGTCATAGACGGCGCATGAGAGCCCTGTGGGCAGCTCCTTGGCCACTGTTTCTCTCTGCTGTTGGCAGTGCCCTCACCTCCACCGATCAAGGTAGTCCAGGCTCATCTCGTGTTCTCCTGCCCCAGACATGAGGTCGACTCCCTGCCAAGCAGCTCAGGGTTCTTGCAGTGTAATGTAACACTAATGGATAGACTCTGAGTGACAGGAACACACGGTCTTGCTCCAGATGAACCTCAGTGTCAGGTTAGGGTGCTGGAACTTTAGAAATAGAGCTGAAACATTACCCCCCCCCATGAGTCGCTTCATATTTAATAGTGATCTATAACTCGACTGAGGTTCTATTTGGTGTTCTGTAGAGGAGTTTTTAAAATCTAACCCGTTTTCTTTTCTTTTTCTTTCCCCAGAGTGATTCTCTTTGCCCACTAACTTTCCCTTGTCACGCTGTAGGCTGTGACCCTAAACCATCCAAGGACTCGCAGCATCTGCGCTCCCCACCACATTGCAATGTTTCCTTTCATTTTTTCTCTTTGAACCTCATCTTGAGAATGCTCCAATTGTCTCCAAACAGCTCAGACAATGCCCCGCCTATCTTGTTGGGGTATCCACTAAAAGGGGAAAACAACCCAAATCTCTCTCCAGAGTCTACACTGAAACACTGAGGGCTGGCTGCTCTTTGGAAAGCACCTCTGAAAGGCCTGAGGTCCTGTCCAACTATGCAATCAATAAAAAATAAAGACTGAAAATGATTGGCTTTTAATATGTATCAAAATCGTCCATACGTTCTTCACTTTCCAGAGTGGAGTTTCAGCACAGAATGAGAACTGTTGAAATGCAGGGCTCTTCTCGGTCGCCCTCTCTCTTCTCCCCTCCCTCCTCCTTTCCAAAGACTTGGATTCAATATCTAGTGTCTGTCACATCGAGGCTCAATGAGCGGCACAGTGTAAGTGGTCAGTAAATGTTTCATGGTAGAAGGAAATGGAAGTTTGGCCGACCAGTCAAGATCTCAGTGATCTGGAGGGTTAAAACACATCGAGTTTTAGGTAGATTCATTTTCTACCTTGCTTCATTTAATAGATGCAGGTTCGCACAGAGAGGGAGATCAAAGAAGCCGCTTCTACACGATTACACTGTGGTCATCGGTTTGCCCAGGAGACTCAACCCTTGGGGGTCTCTGTCTGGGTGGAAGGGCCCTTGGCTTCATGCAGGAGAGAATTCAAGAGCTGGCCATTGAGGGAGAGGCAAGCGAGCTCCTTAAGGGTATTGGAGTGGACTGCTCCATGGGGGAGCAGCCGGGAGACCACCCACAGCTTCAGTTCCTTCCTTACTCGGAGAAGGAGCACTGCTACCAGAAAGGAACCCAGAAGGGACCCTTTAGGCAGGGCAACCCCCAACTTCGGTGGGTGTCTGGGTTGTTTGGCGTTGCTTCATGCCGGGCTAGTCAGCCTCACCCACTCCCCACTCCCTGTTGCAGGTGGTCCTGGTGCCATGTGCTCGGTGACTGGAGCAGGGCTGAGCAGGGCTCTGGCTTGGGAGAACCCAGGTGGTCCGCCCTGGCGCTTCCTCATGTTTCCCCGCTTGGTGTTTCAGTCTCTGCTCCGGATCCTGGAGACGCCCAAGGGCCGTGCAGCCTTCCGAGTGTCCAGCGGCTTCAATGGCTTGCTGTCCCTGCTCTCCGACCTCGAGGGCGCCCTCCAGCAACCCCCGCTGCAGATGTGGGCGGCGGTGGCACCCCGCCGCCGCCTGGAGCTGGTGCTGCACCCCCCCTGCGCCCTGG